CTGGGATTTCCTTTCTTTTGCCTTCCAAAGCATGGTATATATCTAGGTGACTTCTAGACACTTGCGGAAAAAAAAATGTATGTAAAGCTCATAAGGCCAGGTAAGTAGTCCAACCTGCAGCAATGAATAATAAAGAGGAAGCTGTTTCATACATGCAAAATATGACTTGGATCAATGAAGAAAAGAAATATTAGTTGGGATTCATTTGCTTATTACTGGCATACATATCAAAACAGTCACAGGACAGTGTTGATTTTTTTTTTTTTTTTCCTTACCTGTTGCTATAGGGAAGTCTTTGGCCTAGGAAATGTTTGCAGCCATCTATAAAGTCCCCTAATGCAAGTACTGTGCTGAGGCTGAAGGCTCCAGCTGGGTTTGATTCACCAAATATGTTTTTATCTCAGCTCTGCAGTACTGCCCTGCTGCTGATGTCCTCTTGCAGGATCACAAAGCTTGGTCTCGGCTGCAGGGTGAATTCATCTACCTTGAGAGCTTGCTGCCAAACCCTGCACTGGCTACTTTAAACCTATTTGAGGTAGCCCTACTCTAAGCTGCAATGTGTTTGCTTGGGTAATACACTGATGTCTTGTTTTTTGACTTCAGAGGCCATTTATAAAATCCCAAGTGTTGACGAGGTGCCCTCGTTTGCGCTGCCAGACAGCTGATAGCTAYTGTGCTGCCCTGCTGCCTCAGCTGCAGCTAAACATACAAGTGTAGTTGCAGCCACAAACGGTGTAAATTTTTCAACATTCTCTTTTTCTTCAAGGTCTAGGGAGAACAGAAAGGAGAGCTAGAAAATGCTGGTTCATCAAACCCRAACATTGTTGAGAGCGCTCGCTAACTCAAATGTTCTTCACGTCCCAGTGAGAGCTTCAGCTGGCTTATCTCAGGCAGGCAGACACACAAGAAGAATCCACCTAGGGCTATTACATACAAAGACACAGCCTCTTGCTCAGGAAGTTCCTCAACTACGAGTCATTAGAGACTGCCACAATATTAATACACATTTGCCCCATTCTTATGCTTCCCTAAATATCTACCATTGACCTTGGCTGGAGACAGGATGAAAGGCCAGATGGATCCTGGGGCATGACTGGAAGGAAGTTGTTTTCATGTCTGTAAGTCACAAAGTGAAACACAAGAACCTCAGAGGACATGAAGGGTAACTAGAAAATAGTCTCTAAGCACAGCAGTAGTGAGGGGTAATACGAAGGCAAGTGTTGATTCACTGCTCAGAGGAAGGTGATACTAGCTAATGATGCTAAAGGGGCATGAAAGTTTGATTTGGTTTTTTTTTCTCCTGTCTTTATTTGGCTATTTTCAACAAGAAAGAATCTACTTCTTCTTTCTTCCACTACTGTTTAGGATATCTGATGGGATTGGTACCCACTGACAGTAACAACACTGAAATGAGGCCACGCTTCTTCCAGCTGCACACTAATTTCCAGGGTGGTTGGGTGTCCACAATGTTTTGTTCTCTAACAACAATCAGGCCACCCATTGAATGATGCATTTCACACGCTGAGACTCATAAGCGGAAAGGAGCACTGTCCTTGAGAGCTAGACTCTGGAATCTACACATTGAAATGCAAAGCCAGTACACCAGCTTGCTTCTTTTGAATAAAATCAATACATGCGATATTGACAGTTTCCAAGTATACAGTTCTATAGTTGCTGTCATAAGACAAAAATGTAAAGATCTAACTGCAGTGAAGAGTGGTTAAATTGCAGTCCTGTGCTCTTTAAACACAACTTGGTCACAAACCTGAACAGTGGTGAAGCTTGCAATTGTTTTAATATGAATGAGCAAATGCAAGTTTTACRTTTCTAATATTTAGGCCAAAGGAACTGCTGTTTTTCCAAACATTTTACTATGCAAAATACACAGGAATATTTCCATGATATTAGGTAATTCTGTATCAAATATATTTGTAATTCTAAGTGGTTTGGCGATATTTGAGCAGAATGTAACTGAGAGAGACAATGTTAGCGCTGTGTTGGTTTTATTGTTTCCTGCATGCTCTAAAGCAATCAAACAATTCTGCAAATGTTCTTCAAAGAATACATCTAGAACGTTACTTCATTAAATATCTCCTTGGCATTCATTCTATTTTCCACTTTGAATTGCTGCATTTAGTTTTGAAATGACCTTTCATAGCAGTGAAATTTTATTAACTCTTTGATCCACTGGCACAGAGATGAAAACAACAGTGAAAAGGGAAATGCAAAAATGAGTGCTTTTAGGCTGCCTCGTATTGTGGAACAGCATGAAAAGGAAGTAAGTTCTATCACTAAAAGGATTACATGTTGCTTAATATTGCTGGCATTCCCTCCATCCTCCTACTAATGTCAGTGATCAATGTTATATACCCGCTTATGTTTGTCTTAGGGCCTTCTGTTAAATACACCAGGACATATTTTGTCTTCAAATACTCTCTCACTCTACACAACACTTAAGGTCCAAATTTTGTGCTTTTTGCCTTTTTTTTTCCCTCTSTGTAACTCAATATCCATTATAAATCCAGGGCTAGATTCACTTATTCCATGAATTATTCCTAAGCAAGTAGGGTTAAATGAGCTCCTATGAAAGATGTTCTAGAGAGGCAGTATATATTAGAGTCACAGTTCAGTCCTTGCTTTTCTTTCTTCTAAAGTGGCAGGAAGATTCAGCAGCCCCTTTGCCGGCACAGTTTATTCCTTGCTCAGCACTGTGTTGGTATTACTAGAGCATTTAGAGGTCAGGGAAAAGACTTGGAGTTAATGGGAAGTAGAATGGCGGTCCATGGGCAGATTTTCCTCTTTTCCTCACTGTGACCTGCAGTTTATCTGACATCCTTGACATTTTCCTGCAGGGAAATATAGGTGGACTTACAACYGAATGCACCGTGCTCAGTGTCACTCTGCCCATGCAATGAGTATTCATTAATTTAAGGGTAACCAAGCCAGACTACAGAGAGCTCTGTGCTTGATACCCACAGAAAGTCCCTGCAGTTTCACTCCACTCTGACATGAATACTGAATATTGACAGAGTTGAGCTCTGTCCTGGCTGTGAAGAAATCAAACAAAGTCTGAGCCTGCAGAGCAACAGAGCTCATATCAAACGATTGCCTCCTTCYGCACCCTTAGCCACAACCACTGTTTATAGCCATGACTAATCAYATCGACTGCATTTACTTGACCTACCCCTCATGGGAAGGCTCTACCATTTATTTTGCGTTAGTAGGAGGAGAGAACACCATATTCCACCATTGTCACTGTGCAGATTGGAGCCCTGCTTTTTCCAAAAAAAGTTAAGATACACAGAAGTAAATTTAGAGTTCTCAAAGCAATCTACATTAAAAGCAACAGTGAACACGTTTAGGTCATATATTGTGTGGTCTTGGATGTTCAAATACACTTTATTTAAAATTACGTACCATAGTGCTGTTTTTAATTCTTCTATCACTACAGAGCCTTTTAATTCTTCTATCACTACTATAGTACTATTGTGTTGCTCAGAGTCTTAGACTGTGCCCATCACCATAATACCCAGATTAAAATAGATCAAGATCAAAAGAGGAACCTTTTCACCAACAGTTGAACTTCCTGAGATGCATAGAAATGCACTTAAAAATCTRGGAATTTAAAGATTTTAATTAGGAGTCCAGACAAAGAGAAGTGTTTTAGCAATATTAGCTGTTCATTTTATTAGGAAAAGGCATATTTTATTAGAGAAAGGCATATACATTACTTACACCACGAGTTAAGTTGTACTGGTGAAAAAAGCATTCTGAATAGCTGTCAGCATCTAAGGTGACTGAAGGCTCCGTTACACACACATATACACACACCCAGAGCTAATCTCACAGCACAGTTTTATAAGCTTTGTCTCAGCAAGTGACAAATATTTTATCTGTAAAGGATCTACAGAATTTCTGAAAAGCTGAAGGCTGTTATTATAAAATTAGGCTGGAGTAGAAATAAAAATTACAATTGTGCTGAAACTGATTCGATTTTTTTTTTCTGATGTACTTTGCCTTTTCTTTAAAATGGAGCTATACTGCTATTGTTGTAAAAAGGAAAATAAAGTAAGAAAATTTGACAAAACAGTAATTTCATAGAAAAGGAAAAGATAGGAAATTCTATGAAAAACCTTTAAGGAATTAAATGTACATTACTGCATTTTGAAGAAAGATACTGATTTTGAAGTAAAAATATATAAATTATAAATATTATAAAACAGGAAAAAAAAAAAACATGCTGAAGGTATTGATCTAATCAGTTTCATAGTTTTCCCCTGTTGTTTTCTACTCAGAATTACAACMGACTGTAAATCAGCTGCTTCTGAAGTTCATATATGTTTAGTTTGAAACAGAGTCCTTAACTTATTTGTATATTAGGCCCATGGTGTTGAAAGCAGACAAGCAAGCAAGTAAACAAGGAAGAATTTAGTAGAAGAGTGGTATTTTTAATCCACAGTGCAAGAGGCAAATAATGAAAGGAGCCAAGCAATAGTTACCATGAGACCACAACTAAAAATAGGCAAATAAATAAAGACTTGGGTTCTGTGACTGTATGTGCTACTTATGGCTGTTAAGAACCCTTCTCATTTTCCATTTGGTTTCGCTCCACATAAGTTCATGAGACGTACTGCAATTTGCAGTCAGGTACTCAGAGCCACATGTGTTAATGCGTGGGGCTGAAGGGGAGCTGAAATGAGAGGTCTCTAAACACTGCCCAGGCTCTGCCCACACAGCTCTGACTACTCAAGCCCTGTATTGCAGCATGAAGAGACACCTACCTTAACTTCTTCATACACTAGAAACAGTGCATGTGATAAACATGCCTTGTTGGATTGCTTAAAAGCTGGTATTTGATGCATTCTTCAAAAAAAAAAAAAAAAAAAAAAAGAACAATGATGGAAATAAACTGAAAGTCATATTTTTACAATTTATTTTATGTTCCGGTAGTGCCCCCTGTCAAGAATTTTTATGCCAAGTGCTCCACAAATGCAGAACTGTCCTTGCCCCAAAAGCAGTGTGAACTTCACATTTCAGTGAAGTTCAGCTGTCACTAGACAGTTTATTAACAACTACTGCCTTAAAAATATTTCATGATGTAGATAAATAAGGCCAAGATTTCTTTTTGTTGTTATCATCTTTCATTTCCAAAGCATTCAAAACTGCACATGCGTTTCTCAGTAATTCATCTTAAATGCTTTTAGGCAGAATGGTGAGGGCATTTCATCTGCAAAACAAAACAAAACAAAACAGTTAGCTTTAGCTCTTCATTACAAGATAAATACCATGAAGTAAATAAACTGTTACTTTCCACACAGTTCAAACAAATGATCCATGGCTGAGGTGTTATCTTTCCTCTTATTTCYGCTTCATATATTAAAGAGAACAAACAAACAAAAAAATATTTTAAGGCACGGAAAATGTTATCTGATGGTGCTTATTACTACATGAACATATTCCTAGATCGTCATTCATATATGTTTAAAAAAGGTACACAGAAAAGGGTGAATGTGAGCTACATTTTCATTCATGCTTTTTTAAAAAGAAAAAAGAACAGAAATCAGAATGCTAAACTTTGGCCCTGACACCATCCATTAAAATCTCCAGTTAATTTTTTATTCAGAAATTAATTTAATTCAAATATATTTCAGCAATGGGAAATGTCTCAGTGAGATGATATAATAGCTTTTGTAGAACTAATGGCCTCTTTCACAGTGATGGTGGAACATCATACAATTTTCAGCACAGATCAAGTAGGTGGATTTGAGTTTTAGTGCCCGCTCCGCAGCAGGTAGCCGGTGGCCGGGAAGGAGAGCGCCGGCCCAGCACTGGCCTCGCCGCGTGAACGGGGCTGCTCCAGGTGCTGTGGTACCTCCTACATGGTGTTTCTGGCATTGTCCGAGTTCACTCCACTGCATCTTGTAAAAACAGGCTCTTTGGGGAACTGCACTGGGCATATTCTGCCTTCCTCGTACAGGAGCTGGTGTGTCCCAGCTGCCTGATGCTTTACATCACACCAGTCCATCAGAGGTACAGAGAGGAAGCAAAATGAACCTTTCTGTAATCCAGATAACAAAACTGAAATGAAGATTTGTTCTTTCTCAACATTCCTTCATTTCACATCACTTCTTCACTGACTATCCCATAATCTATTTTTTTTTTTTTAACTCCTTTTAAGATTTGGAATTAAAGAGCTCCCTTTCCTTACCGGTAGGAACTGATTTCACCAGAAAATATTCTTCCTCCTTCCATCTGATGCATCTTTGAGGCAGTTTTATTCAGTCCTAAGCACTTGGAGCTGTAAAGCTTCAGCAGGGAAAGAAAACTGAATGCCCAGCACAAACCTGGCTGAATTCTTTTCAGCAGCTTTGCTCAGCTCCAGTGAATAGCAGAGMACATGAGGCTGATGTGGGATTTGTTTCAGCATCAGGCAGTTGGTCTCGGTTAGTCTGTTAAAGGCATTTCTGCTCTATAGGTTGTCCTATTGCAAAATCTGTTGTTTGTGCTTTTTAACAGCACAGGGATATGGAAAGGCTGCAGTGCTCTAAGCAGAGTAAGGTGCCTGCAACCTTCAAGCAGCACCAGTGTTCTACAAATGACAGTGCTTTTGAAAAAGAAAAGAAGTCTCTAGTGAGTGGAAGTTATGTATGTTATGGAAAGCTACCTTTTAATTATCATGTTAAAACCAGTGGTTGGTTCCATTACCCTGTGGTTGTGGTTACCCTCTGCCTGTGCAAAATCTGCAATTCTTTTCTTCTTCCACACACTACATTGTTCCAAATATGCATCAGATATTGATTTTTAGAAGGGCTCACCCACATAACTTCTCTTGATTTCCACAGGTTTCTGATACACAATTCATAATTTTGTGATTTTTAGGCTGTCAATGAAAAATGTTGAGAACAGAACACACTCCAAACTTTGGAGTTTATGTTAATGCCAGAGTCATAAGTTTTGCGTGATTTCCATTTTTAAACATGAAATGGGTGAAGTTTGATGTCTGCACATGTCAAGAAGACCAGCCTTACCTCCTAGCTTTTTCCATCTAAGTTCTACTCCTTCCACATTCTGCAGAGAACTGACAAGGATTGTCTTTAGTTTTTCATTTTTTAACACCTTCCTACWGTAAAACAATAGTTTCCATCTTCATGCAGTGTTTACTTACTTGCTAAGATCATTTAACCCAGGCTACAGAAAGTAAGTATTTACTTCTCAGACATTGTTAAAATGCCATTACAGATTGTATTTAAATTTATACATTACATAAAGAGTAATTATGTTCAAGTGAAATGATGATGATGATGATGATGATGATGATGATAATAAGATCGAGCAGCAGATGTGTGAACATAAATGCTTGCCACCTGATTTTAAACATCAGACGAGCTAAATGGAAGCTTAAGTATCTTTCTGGGATCATTTTGTTAACTCAATATAAATAACTTCAACTTTTATTCTCCATTCGAAGACAGTAAATTATAGCAGAATGTTTTCCATAGCGTTGATATTATAGCAGCACTGACATCATTACTTTGCAAGTAACTAATTGAGAAAGTCATTAGGTACTAAGCTTATCATAATGTTTAAGCAGGGGCATAGTCTGAACTTCGGTATCTTGCACCAAACTGTACAGATAGCTAACCATGCCCTTCTCTATATGAAGTCCAGTAAGAACAGCCAAGGGTCTCCTCYTCATTTACTGCCTCATCTTTGAGCTTTCTCATCTTTGCCCATCTCACAAAATTTTCTATAAAATACCCATCAGATTGAATAAAAAAACAGTGGTAAAGTCACTGATCCTCGCCACCTTTTATTTGACAAGTTTGCATAGACTATGCACAGAGTATACCTGCTTACATCCCACCTTCACTTTGCTGAATTTTATCCACAGCTACTCTCAAACACAGGCCTAAACTGTACTCCAGCTACCCCAGGGTGGGAGAYCCTCTCAGTCTTTTGTATCTGAACTGCTGCATTTGCACTGAGAAGAGATAGGAAGGGAAGAGTTGGTGGCAGAGCAGCACTCTGGCTTTTTTTGGCTCTCAATGTCTCTCATACATTGCACAGGAAGACTCTTACATAGCTCAGTGCTGTGGATCCTCCTACGCATCTAAAGGTATGGCTGTTTGTGAAGCCTATGTATAGTCCAAAAATCTTTTGCAGATCCAGTCATATGATGGTCTCACGTCTGAAAAAGATCTGGTAATCACTGTTTCTTTTTCCTGCTGTGTCCTCACTGCCCTGGAAGGACCTAAAAGGGTCATAAAAGTGCTATATACAACTGACTCCCCTTTCAGACCSAGTCTGACCATCTGCAGTTCTCGGTCAGACAATTGTCTTTTCCATAGGTCTGGAAAAATATGGTTTCCTTCAATGAATCTCAAGAGAAATCCTGGGATGAAGCAGTCATTGTGTGTCCACTGTGAGGATGAAAGAAATAAAAGAACACAATGGAAATCATATTAAAAATGCAGGGATATGACATTGAACCAGTGCCAGTGGAGGACACAGAGCTTTTTTTCTCCGTCTTCAGTCACTAGTCTTGCTCAAGAGGTTGGCTGCCATGTTGTGGACAAAAACTAGTGTTTCTATCTACGCTGTGATGGATGGCCCTAGTTGGAGGAAGCTACCCTAGCTATAATGTATTATAAAATCATTTTTAATTTATTAGAAGAAGAAAAGATCAAGGATTGTTTCCACTAACCTTAACCACTTTATTGGTATTAAATCATATTAAGTTGCTGTTATTTTCTTGTATTTGGCATTTTCTTCTGGTTGTTTATTCTGATTCGCCTTGGCCTCCTGCCAAATGTGCATCTAGTGTCGAGAGTCAGTTCTAAACTCCATTTTTACTATAAAAAATGAAGAGAGATAATTATATTTAAGACCAGTGTATATATATATATATAAAAGTAGCTGTAATTTACTTCTATGGTGAAGTATAGAGCAAAACAATAGCTTTAAAAAAACATACCATGTGAGCTCTTGTATAGACCATATATATACATATCACTTTCATACAGCTTAAAAAAGAGTTCCTGAGGCATGCGGTATCTTAAAATAAGGCAAAGAAAACCTGACGCAGCGAGAGAAAGGCACCCGCTATGAGAGGAGAGCTTCCTTCTACTCCCCCCTGAAGACAGTCCAAGGAACTCAAGACCCTGCAGGCTTMGAGAGATGAATTTTTGTGCATTTGCTTAGACTAATATTTGTATTCAGACTAATGCAAATAACATTTTCATGTCACATAACTATGAAGCCTGGTGTCACATGGAAGTAAATCAAGAATAACTCCACTGAACTTAGACTGTCTGATAAGCAGAGAACAAGCATGTGTGCGTGTTTATATATCCAAATATCATTAATTACTTCACTGAGCCTATTCCAGGGGTGAAGCTGCTGCTTACAGTTCCCAGGCAACGTATTGACTCTTTAGTAGTCTATCAGTGAATGGAATATATTCTGCAAGATTTATAATTAAGTGTCTTTAGATTTAGTGTTGTAAAATAAGTAAGATTTATGCAAGTATTCAGAATACATGCAGACAGAGCAATTGGCCACTTTAGAGTTTGCTTTTGGGTAACTGTGTCCAGACTAATTAAACTGATTAAGAACATATGCAATGCAAAATGAAGGCCAGACTAATTTTTTCTTATGCATATACTATAAATAGGCTATTCAGTTAAACAGCATCAAAGCTGATTCATTAATACATTCTAAATATCCAGTGGAGGTTAGGGGAATTCACAGATTTTAAAATTAGACTGGTTATAAATGGTGCGAYAGCACTTTAAGTGACTAATTTTAGGTAACTAAGTTTGAACATTTTGGCCTTTTGCTTTTAAGTATGTTAATGTGTGCAAATTAACCAAAGTACCCTATATCCTAAATGTTGAGTCATATCCTTCTACTCTTGCAGTAAATTCTTCTATAAATACCATGAAGCCGAATTAAAAATATAACAAAACATCTAGAAAACTTCCCTACATCCATAGGTCTATATTAAACGCAGCTTTGCTATAATAAACCTATATACGGAAAGGAGAAAAAAATTGCCTATGAATTTCAAAATTACTTTTCTTACTGAAATTCTCTGTGCTCCATGATCAAAACGATAGCAAGAACACAGTGAAAAATTCAGGAAAAAAGTATATATGAAGGAAAAAGTTACAATGTGAAGTTGCACACAGCTTGCTATTTAAGCATCTGAAAATGCAAAGAGCACTTTACCAGCAGCAATCTGAAATTAAATGCAGCGATACTGAGTCCTAATGAAACTTCTTGAAAGTCTGCAAACTGGCTTTTAGTTACATTTCTTATGAAAGTTACTTGGGTATCCTGAATTATCAAATTTCATAATGTGCTGTTTTCATTATATAGTAAAACTGAGTTTGCCTATGCATATTTTGGGATTGTGAGATCCTTGCAAGGTATCTGCAATGTGCCTCTAGCATGTACTATCATCTTCAAAATAAAAATATTTTACATCAGTACATGGAGAGTTTGAGAAAACATTAAAGGTCTAGATGTACAAATGTAACTCTGGTACACTTCAGTGGTAGTGAAGAATTTGTACTGCTTTCAGAATTAGACCATTAAAAGTAAAAAACCAGCAACCCAACCAAGGCACTTCTGAAGCAGGTATTCTATCCTGATCTCTTTTTTTTTTTTTTTTTTTTTTTGAGTAGGGCCAGGCTGAAATGTTGTTTGCAGCTGTGACTTGCATTTTTCTTTCTGACACATGTTTAGTCAATAGGGACAACCCCAATTTGTTGCTTTCCAGTTTTGCCTACGGGCATCCTCTGAAATAATTAACTGTGCAGTTATCAGATTAGCTCTGTGCAAACTACATATAATGACACTATATTTTCATTACCTTGGCACTATGGATATACTTTGGTCAAGCGTGTTGCAAACGCCCATAGTGAAAACAGCAGCTTTGATCAACCCTTGCTTGCTCTTAGATGCTCTGGAAACCTCTGTCAGTCTCTGCACGCTCTGGCCTCTGCACAGCAGCTAAAATACATGGGTCTGTTTTCATGAGTCCATCCCAATATCTACCCTGAATGTTTTTGGATGCTTATCTGAATCAAATAGAATCTATAAATCTTTTTACGATTTGCCTATTGCTAGCTGTCTAGCCTGTGCCCAGAGCTAATAATGGCAACTCAATTTATGGGAGCATCTTGTGACTTATGTTTCTAGTCAACAGTGTCAACAGCAAAGACATGTTCAMCAAAATCCTCTTTATTCTGCTTCCAGTTTTGCAATGGGATCACTGACTCTGTGCAGCAGATTCAAAAACATCACCCCTCAAACAAAATGGAAGCTGAAAATCAATTTTACATATCTTCTTGTTAAAATGAGATTTCACACTTTTTCAGATCTGCAGTCGAATAATTGTAACTAATGAGCTAACTTTTAAAATTCTTTGATGTCTTTTTACTGTATAAATGTTACAGATGTACATATGAACAACAGCAAAATTAACATCTGGATTCTCTGCTAAATTTGTTTTCTTGCCTTTTGAAAACACAACACTATCATCTGAGGTTCTTTTAAAATAATTTATCTAATGAGATGTTATCAAATAGAGAATAATATGCACCATTTACCACATTCTTTGTTTATTAACTATATTTTGAAGTGAATAACAGCTCTTCACACTAAACTTTATTAATAGGCTGGATTTGAATAAAACTTGCATAAGTTGCTCTAACTTACAGAGTAAAATATTCCACTATTTACAAAGTATTATTGCCTAAACACTGTGGTGGTTGAAATGATGAGGAAACAAACAGGAAGAATATTCTGACCATGAGAAAATCGGAGGTCATGCAAGTATTTTCTATAATTATGTTTTTCTAAACTTTGTTCACATCACTGATTAAAACTGCAGGTGTATAACTTGTTTCTCTCTCTTCATTTCTCCCATGCCCTTCCTCACTTTTAGACAGCACAAAGAAAGCCAAGTAAACAAAGACAACTAACAGGATGCATTGAAGGCAACATCTTGGCCCGTTCGCTTTGCAGGGCTCAGATGTTCACAGCTACTCTCCAGAACTGGATTTTGCACCACCATCCTCTCCYGCACTCACTAGCATGGAGGGAAGATGCAGAAAAGGAACTGTGAGGAGACTGCAATATATGAGAATGTCAGTATGTCTGTCTTTGGTAATTTGGTCTCAAGTGTTATACATAGCAATACTATGTTATCCTTTCTTAATACATTTTTCATTTTAAAAGTATTTTTAAAAAAGTCTACGTTAATTTTTATTTTGTAGCTTATTTCACTTCTCCCTTATTTTTTTTCTCTCAATTCCCTGCTTGCTTTTCAATCTACTGTTGTAAAGGGCTGGGTTTCTCATTGATTTTGCAAAGATGAGGATTAAATATTCTGTGGGAACCCTGGCCCTTGAGAACAAGCACTGGAATTCAGGCCTATGAGTGGAAGGATCAGCAAGATTTACCACAAGTCCTGCAAGTTGTGAATAGCATGTATGCACTTTGCTGAACAGGTATTTTATATAAGCTGCATGTATCAGTCRTGATTAGAAAGCCAGGATTTGCTCCAGAATGGAGAGCATGGCTCTGTCTACGTATACAGTGCAATGTGGTGTCTCACTACAGCCTTTACTCTGCCCCCTTCCTATTTACCCTATAGCACACGTGTAGCCTAGCCAAAAATGTTCCCGTGAATAAACACCAGACTGAGTCACATTACCTGTATTATCACTATCTGTMAGGTGCAGAATATGAAAACTACTGTCAGAGGGTAAGTCTCATATCCATGACATAAAAATAGAAAGGGAAACTCTATAATTTGTTGTTGTCATTTGAATGTTCTGTTTAGACATATTGAGGAAGAATTTAATTGCTCTATCAGTAATACTCTAAAAAGAGCAAAGCAATCACATACTTTGAGCACAAAGTGAAAGTAAATTAAAGAGGATATATACATATTTTCCTTGGTCTGAATTTCTGTGTGGGCTCATTTCAGTTTCAGGTACCCTTCAGCTGGAAGCTGTGTTGGCTCCTTAACTTTCCATTAGCTCTAACTGATACATTATCTTCTGGCAAAGCTGAGGCAAAGCCTGGCTATATTTTGTACAGGAGATTTTTCACAATTTAAAATAACAAACTGTGGATTGTGTAAGGGCATGATGCGAGTAATAACTTTTTTTCAGCTTCTTAATAATAATAATAATTCTTAATAATAATAATTTCTTAATAATAATAACCGATTAAATTAATCTTTTCTGCAGTTAAACTTGCTAAACAATGAGGTGTCATTTGATAAACATTGCTTAAAATGAAATAATATATATTTACAAAAGAATTCTAGGAAATTCATTCCTTTCAAAAAGAAAAAAAGCCCTATAAAAATATCCCAGCTCACCTATAGGAAAGAAATAGTATTTCAAAATCCTCACACAGTATTTTCCGTATCCTAGAGAACACGAGCTTCATCATTGCATTTACCAGAATCGCCCCCAAACCCATCAGCTCCAAAGATACCTGTTATCCGACTACACCAAAAGAACCTGGAAGCAACCCTCACTTGTCATGGCTCCCAGCTGGACCGCTCGCAGGTTGTAATATTCCTTATCTGCCTCTAAGTGGCCACAGGTACAGCATCTTCCCTGCAGTCCCCCAACAGCAACACCCTTCCTAACTGCAGAGCCTCTTCTCCGCAGCTCCCTTCAGGTCAATCAGCACAAACAGGGACGTATCACCACAGCGTTAACCCATTTCTCTTATGGCAGGAGGGACTTGATCACCGGAGATAAACGATTAGTGAAAATACCAGCCTCTGGAAACAAAGCTGTTGTATGAAATATTTACATTCTAA